ATTGATAAACTTTTCTTAAAATTTATATGAAAACAAAACATACTTAGAATGGAATGGCTATAAACAATACTGGAAAAGAAGTATCAAGCTGGAACAATCACACCACCCTCTTTATTCAATATCAACAGTAATCAAAAAGGGATGTAATGTCAAATGGATAAGTACATCCATCAGTATAGACTGGAATAAGGAACCCCCAAACAGACCTATACAAATGTACCCACCTGCGTCAGAACTAGTTTGAAACTGTTAGAATTGGTTTGAAGCAATTTAACCCTGTTAGAGCCAGTTTGAACTGGTCAAAATAAATCAGAACTAGGTCGAACTGGTCTGAGCCAGTCAGAACTGGTTTGAATCAGTCAGAGCCCATCAGAACTGGTTCAAACCAGTCTTAGCCAGTCAGAACCTGTCTAAACTGGTCTTGACCAGTCAGAATCAAGTTTCTTTTTTTTTTTTCTGAGAGGTTTTCGCTATAGGGCGCGTGCGCTCGCTAGACAGACAGAGAGAGACGTAGAGACAGAAAGCGAGAAATCACCTCCCAGGGGGATGGTCACGCCACAATTCCTTCTCCTCCATTCTCCTCTCGGGATCTTGGGCACGCACGCACATGCGCCCAGCGTGAGTTCTAAGCCACCGGGTCCGGGACGCGAACCACGGTCGACTATGTGGGAGTCCAGCAACATAGTCATTACGCTAACTGCTAGTCCCGACACGTATCACTTTTGACATGAGTGTCCACGTTGACATGTGTGACAGTTTTGACATGTGTGTCTATTTTGACACATGTGTCAATGTTGACACATATGTCAACATTGACACATGTGTATATTTTGACACACATGCTGATTTGACATGTATGTTGATTTTGACACACATGTCGATTTTGACACACGTGTCGATTTTGACATGTGTGACGATTTTGACATGTGTCACTTTTGTCACGTGTGTCGATTTTGACACACATGTTGTTTTTGACATACATGCTGATTTTGTTGTGTCTTTTTTTTTTTTGGAGAGGTTTTTGCTATAGGGTGCGTACGCTCACCAGACAGAGACAGAGAGTAAGCAATCCTCCCTGGGGGGTGATTTCTCGCTTTGTCTCTATGTCTCTCTCTGTTTGTCTGGCGAGCACACACACACTATAGCAAAAACCTCTAAAAAAATGGGGAAAAGATTTAAACAAACACTTTATCAAAGAAGATATAAAAGGCAAGTACATGAAATGTTCAATGTCGTAAGACATCAAAAAAATGCAAGTTAAAATAACCAATAATAAGATACCACTGAAGGTATATTAAAATGATGGAAAAACTAAATACCTGTACTATCAATGCTGATGAGGATGTAGGGAAGCTTGATTCCTCACACACTGGTGGGAATATGAAGTACTATGGCTATTAGGAATATCGGTTTGAAGTTTTTGCTCAGAATAAAAATGCATTTACCATATACCCAAATAATAAATGATAATGTATATGGTGATATCTTTGACTGGACTGGTTTACAGTGTATTCATGCTGGGGAAATCCATTTTGTATGCTGTAAAGAGGTACAGTGATTGTATGTAAAAGAAAAATGTAAAAAATACTCGTAAGTTTATCCTAGAGGAAAAAAAAAATAACCGATGTTCACACCAAAATGTGTACAATGATATCCTAGCATCTCTGTACTCACCGATAACTTGAAATGACCCAAATGGCCCATGTGGTCTTGAACATATGCCAGGTTCAATTGTTTTACAACATGCGCCAGAACAGTAATCCAGAATAAAGGGAATGACTAGAGAAGTATGAATAACATGGATGTGCCTTCAATGGCTCTATACATACAAGCATTCTTTTTGAAGGTTTTACCGGAGGGTGCACGCACTCACCAGAGAAGACAGAGAGAAGGTGAGAAATCACCCTCCAGAGGGGATGGCCACACCACAATCCCTTTCCCTCCATTCTCCTCTTGGGATTTTGGACATACGTATGCACATGCTCAGTGTGAGTTACACCAAGTCCAGGGCTCCAACTACTGTCTGCCATGTGGGAATCCAGCACCTTAACCACCATGCCACCTGCTGGTCCCTGTATAAGCATCCTTAACAGAAAAAAAATAATAGAAATGAAGACCAGTACATGGTTTCCTGGGCTTATGAAGGAGAGGATGGTTATGACTGTGAAGGGCAGCAGGAAAGAATTCACTTGTGGGGAAAGACGATACCTGCTATCATGATTGCAATGATGGGAGTAAAAATCTACACGATAAAATCTCATATAATAATACACAAAGCCAAATGAACAATGTAGGCATGCAAAGAATAGCAAAATCCAAGCAAAGTCTACCCTTATTGTATTGCTCCAGAAAATTCCTTGTCTTGATGTTGCACTATAATTATCTTGAGGAAGCTGAAAAACAGGTAATGAGACCTCTTTGGACTGTTTCTGTCACCTCCTTCTACAATTGCTTCAGCATTGAAAAGTTTTTTAGAAAGCTCAACAAATCTCAAATTAGACTAAAATAAATAAATATCACGCCAGGTATATCATTATCAAATGACTAAACAATCAAATGTAAAGAAAACTTTTCTCAAAAATAAAAATGAATGAAAAAATATATTTTCCCGTGTCTTACAACCCTCCGAGAGAGCTGATTCAGGAGTGCAAAGCTGTTAAATGGCATACGGGACCTAAGCCTGGCTGTATTCACGTCCCATCAGCTTGTGTATCCATCCAGACATTTTTTTTTTCTCAAATTGCCAGATAAACTTCTATGTATGTACCATGCACAATTCAAGCTCCCTCATTTATCAAGGGTCTATTAGAGCTACTGAGTTAAGTACAACCCCTACTGTTGCACAATAAAATCTGAGGATTATAACGTGGTACTTCTTGCTGAGTCGTATTGTTTTTATTACTAGAATGGAAGACATTACCATGTTAAAGCTACTTCAAGTTGATTAAGGGATATTAGGTGACAGACAGCAGTCCATACTGCTAGCGAATTGAGGCAAAACAGAATGAGTGAAGGTTGAGGGAAGACGCTAACTCTATTAAAGTTACAGTTAAAACAGGAATTTCAAAGAGAGGATGTGAAGCAAGTCCAGCATTAGACTCTCACAGACCTTAATTCTAGTTGCAGACAAAGGATAACTCATGGCTAACCTCCATGATCTCTGTCTCTGTTATTTTAATTTTTCAAGCTATCAGTACAGATTGGTCTGACATGGGTCAATGTCTTCCCCTCAGTCAATTATAGAAGCTAGTCTGACTTATTTCTCTACATACTGGGTAGGCAGGCAGAGCTTCTTCTCAAAGGAAGAAAAAAAAGTACAGGTAACTGAAAGCAAAAACAACTACAACCTACCTCTTGGCTCCTATTAGATTTGCACTCTCACACACACACACACACACACACACATATACTTCTTAACATGTGCATAATATGTATATATAATATGGATATATATATACATAATATGTATATAATCATATATGTGTGTGTGTAGTTTATCTAATATATATTCATATATATACATTTGGTATCCCAGATGCCATAGTACAGTTTTAAACTTTAAAATTGCAATGGTTTTAGAGCAGTAAAAACTACAACTTAAAGAGAACATAATTTGGAGTGGTGGTTAAGGTGCTGGACTCCCATGTGGCCTGCTGTGCAGTTTGAGTCGTCCCAGACTTGATGACTTGCTTTCTCACTTTCCCTCCCTCTCTGTCTCTCTCTGGTGAACACATGTGCTATGTAGCAAACTTAAATAATTAATAATAATAAATAAAATAAATCAGTAATTAGAAAAAAATTATGATTTGAAAGTTAAACTATTTTAGTTTCCTTCCCCCACATAGCTTTGCGACTTCTCAACACATTTTTTAAATTTCCACTTTTTAATCTGTCCCTATGATTGGAGATAGCAAAAAGTGACAAATGAAAGTTAAAATTTATTTTTTAAAGTGCGTGATATTAAATCAATGTAACTGATACGCAAATTATTCAGTGCACAAAATATATTTTGAAAAAGTTGGTAGCTTTTACACTTACAAAGTTATTAAGCTTAGAACTGCATTATGGTGGGGCCAGCAGGTGGCATGGTGGTTAAATTGCACTCACACATGGCTGACCGTGGTGAGTCCCAGACCTGGAGGCTTGCTTTCTCACTCTTTCTCTTGCTCTCTCTGGTGAGCAATGTGTTCTCTAGTAAATTAAAATAATAATCATAATAAATAAAAATTAAATAAATAATTCTTCAAAAAGAACTGCATTGTGTATTGGGGGGTCCCTTGTATACACGCATATTCGATCATCTCAGCTCATTTCTTCCACGTTCCACTCTTCCTTGTATGACTGTGAGAAGTGTTTGTGTACACACATGTGCACAAACTCAAAGAAACCCAGGGGATAGTTTCAGCTGCTTTGGGTTTCACCTGCTATACCTTTTTCTCCTTTGTAAGTCTTCCTCCAACTAAATAATGTGCAAACAAGTACATTCCAAGGAAACATAGGAGAAGTTCTGTGTAAATTCATAGACAGGGTATAGAAAAACACATTAAGCTGTTCACAAAGAACACTGTGGGAAACGGGCCTGGGTGACAGCAGCGAAGAAGGGGTATTGCAATCTGCAGTATTAATGTCTATATTATTTGCACTTTTGTATCGGCAAGTATTAATGGGTATTGTATGTGGATGGGCAGAGAAGAGAGCAGGCAAGAAAGCTGAATACAGGTGGGCAATGGCCTGGTTGGATATGACCAGAAACCAAATGTTCAAGCTTATGACAAATGAAGTAGACCTGAAAAGATACAAATAGAACTCAACATGGGAAGAGAAACCAGAGTATCCTATTCCCTCTGTCACTTTAGCAGTCTGCTACCCCAAACGTTTGCCAAGTTATCCTTAATCATCTGTTCTACTGCTGATAACCCTAGGTGTAAGTTATAAGTAGAGTATAAGGTGTAAGTATATTAAAAGATACCAAAAATAGTCAACAATGGAAGGGAAGACTCTATTTTCCTCTTTTCCCATTTACATTTGACATCTTTGAGAAAACAGCCTTAGCTCCTTTTATAGTCCACAGAAAAAAATTGTCCCCTTCCCAATACATAAAAAGGATTTCACTGTTGTGGGCTTTTGAGTGGTTGAAGCTCCTCATCAGTCTCATCCCAGGCATGAAAATCATATAATGAAAACCTACATCTCACACCCAGGGGAAGGGCAGGACCACGACTGGCTTTCCTCAGGGACAATGGCTTCTCTCTGCCTTCTGTGCCTTTTGGAAGGGAGCCAGGCCAGGGAATGACCTAAAGTGGCTGTGACTCTCATGACCCTTGGTTTGTCTAGGAATGGTGAGCACAACCTTCTCTCCTCTGTTGAACTGCTAGACAGGTCTTTGCTTCTGTCCCCTCATAAGGCATAGACAGGATGCATTCTCCATATTTTACCATCAGATAAGTGTTTCACCTCCGTGTGTATATTCCTCTGATGGGAATTCTTCACCACAGTAACTACAGGACCTTGGGAAGAGTCTCTGGTCAAGTTCCCATTACTGAAATCACCATTTCTAAGAACTCTGAATCCCAAGTGTTTGTGGGTGCTTTACTACCCCTGGAGCCCTCACCTCTTCCACACTCCAGCCCACAGTAATTTTCAATTTCCAGTGAGTTTCCTTTTTTCAACTCTACAGGCAAAGATGATAAACTGGTGTTCACTGTTCTTCATGAGGACATTTTGCTCTTCTGCATGAAATTGTATGCCATCTTCCTTCCTTCCTTCATTCAGTCTTTCCTTCCTTCCTCCCTTCCTTCCTTCCTTTTAGGGAGAGCAGTGGATTTATTAAAAGGGAATCTCTGGCCTTATTGGTGGTGGTAGTAGTGGTGGTGGTAGTAGGTATATGTAAACAAAGGTTGGCTTCTTGGAGAAGATGAAGATTAATCTCTTTCTTTTAGGGGTTAAAAACAGTCTGTTTATTGGGGCAAAGATGCTTTCACGTTAAAATGTTTTTTTCTTGTTACATCTAGACGTCTTCTTCCTGATTTGTTTCTTCTTCCTCTTATTCTTCTTCCCTTTCCGGTTCCCTTTATTTTTTAGCCAGGTCAAAGCAAAATGGAAAGCATAGCAGCTGAAGCCCTCACTGACTCCATTCTCCACATGCTTCTGAAGCACCTCCAAGCTGGGGAAGACCCGGCAGCAGGCCATACACCTGAAGCCACTGTCCAGGGCCACCAGCCATTCAGGAGTCTGGGCCCTGGGACTCTCCTCTGAAGCTGGAGACTCTGCTGGGTTATCAACCTTCCCCTTTTCCTCTGGGACTTCACTGTCCAAGCTGGACTCACTGTCAGTTAGGAGGTCCTTTGTAGATATGTAAGAGAGGGCAACTTTCGTATGGACCTTCTCAGGATAGGTCATTTCTTCTATTCTGGGCTTCTTTGTGGGGGGCTCTATTCCTTTCTTGGTACTCCTTAAGATGGCCACACCTCTTTTCATCTGAACACACATGTAGTAAATTTTCATGACTCTTTCCTTTTTCCTCTTTTTTGGTGACACATAGGGCTTACTGACTACACGTGGAGGAAAATAAATATGTGTAGAGGGAGAGGAAGGCTCCCATTTCTCCAAACTCTGGGGTAGAGGCATCTCGGCAGGTTTAAAACAGGGAATACCTTGATGTGATTGGTGGATTCCTAAAAGAGAACATTAGAAACATAAGAAAGCTTGAATAAGTAAGTATAAAGCCTATAGGGGTTAAGGTGACTATAAGAATATCACTGTGTGTGGGCATGAGGAATGGAAGTGTGTGTATATGTCATGTTTCAGAATTCTGTACGTGGTATGTTTTGAGGTGCGTATTGAGTATATCTATGCCAAGAATGTGTGTGTGGTGGGTCTTGTGGAGCTGCACGTGTGTTCTTGTACTACATAGTTGGTGTTTCTGGGACTGATAAAGAGGAATGGTGATAAGTATGTGTACATGTATGATATAGTTTGACAGTACATGTGAATGAGTGCATGAGCGGTGCCTGTTCTTTCCTTGAAAGTTGGACAGTGAGTCTCGAGTGTCAGAAGATGCTCGGCTCTGTCAGTGGTTGAATGTGGATGAAGTGACACATGGATGAGAGAGACTGCATGGAAAAGCACATCCTCTCCAGGGCATATGAATTTTCTGGAGTTTGGTCTAGCGTTAGGGAAGCAAGACACGTTATCTGGGGGAGGAGATGTAAAGAAATTATGAGATCAGGGACCAGCAGATGGCATAATGTTTACATCAGTGGACTCACACATAATGGACCATGGCTCGAGTCCTAGACCTGGCAGCTTAAAATTCATCTGGGCATGCATGCCCCAAATCCCTAGAACAGAATGGAGAAAAAGGGATTGTGGCATGGCCATCCTTTTGGGGGATGATTCCTTTTGCTTTTCTTTCTTTTTCTTTTTGAGAGGTTTTTGCTATAAGGCGCGTGCACTCGCCAGAAAGACAGAGAGAGACAGAGAGACAGAAAGCAAGAAATCACTCCCCCGGGGGAGATGGCCACGCCACAATCCCTTCTCCTCCATTCTCCTCTCAGGATCTTGGGTACGCATGCACATGTGCCCCACGGTAGTTTAAGCACTGAGTCCAGGACTCACACTGCAGAGTTCAGTGACATAGCATTACACTAATTGCTGGTCCCCTGGGGGGTGATTTCTTGCTTTCTCTCTCTCTCTATCTTTCCAGTGAGCACACATGCCCTATAGCAAAAATAACTCTCTCAAAAATGAATAATTTATAGATCAGTGTGAAAAGAAGTGATTCAGAGATTAATTGTGTGTGGGAATGAGAGTGTAAGTGTGTACCTAAGTAATGGGGGAAATAGGTGAAGAATGAAGGGATGTGTATTTGAAGGAATAAGTAAAAGGGTGGGAAATTGGGCCTTACTCAGCATGAAGGAGTATAACATGTGTTTGCAGCATGAGCTTCCACCAGCCTGAGAGGGGGTGTCCTGATCAGATTCCCACATCATATCAGCACTGCCCATTGCCTGCCTCAACCTCAGCTGCCTCCGTGTTCACATGCTGGAAGTCGCACTAAGCTTTGTCCTATTCTTGAAGTCGCATTCTCCTTTTGTCACTACCCAGACCCTGAAGGACTCAATCCTAATTCCTCTGTCCCGAAGCCCTCTCCTGTTTTTCAGGAACAAGTAAAGATTGAGCTGAGCAGCTCAGCAGAACCTCTTGTCCAAGTTCACATCCCACTTTTGCCTCTGCCTTACCATCTTCATCAACAAAAATGAGCTTGCACGGTGAGGAGACACAGGAGATGTATACTGAGGCAGAGGATCTCTCTCCTTCCGCCTGGCTGCAGACTGGAACCACCACACATGTTTCAGGGGCACATTTTTGAGGCTTCCATAAGTCTGCAGAATAAAATGAAAATGTATATTGACATATGTAATAACCTGGGTTCTGTGTCCATCTAAAAAAACATGTTTAGTGGGCATTTTATGTCAAATAGTGTACCACCCATGAGACTTACTATCACAGAAGTTAAGGTGACTTTCTTATGCAAAGCTTCAAAATATAAGTAAAAAATAATAGTTATTAAAATTGTGTGTATGGGAGATGCTAATGGAATTCGATATCTTGTATCCGATATTGTTGGTGGTAGAGATACAGGGTATCATGCTTAAAATATAATATGCAGCCACTAACATTTGGATATTATTTTTATCATCCCAGTTTTCCTCACCACAGACTGTGCAAATAAGCAATATGGAATCATTTTATAATTTATGAGTAATTATATTTGTATGTGTATTTATATAATATCTATACTGACAACGATATATTGATATATACACAAATACAAATATAAAAAGATAATAGATGGATAGATTACCTTTTTTTTCAGTCCCTAAAATAGTCTCTAGATTATTCAAATAATGCCTTGACAGACTTGCCCCAGACTCCTTTCTGGAAATATGCTTCCACATTTCTCATGGATTTTTAACATTTATTCATATGATCTATGAGCTTCCCAAAGAGACAGGAACGTGTACCTGACATAAGGACAGCTTCATGAAAACAGACTGTTTTCACCTTCTTAAAAAGAAGAAATGAAGCACACATCAGACTCCACTGGAAGATGCTCATCTTTCATAGGCAGCTGTACTGCCCACTTGGGCTCAGGTGTACCTACCATCACCATCAGAGTCATACCACCAAGAGGAGACAGGAAATGGGAATATTTCTGCTCCTTGACTGGAAAGATCGTGATAAATCCTTGAGAAAGGAAGTTATTTATGCCAGTTGCTGAACAGAGGAGGTTAGTTCTGGGTCATCATTCTATCCCTAACTTCCCAACTGATTCCTCCTCAGCCCTATTTTTTCCTTCGCTCCGTACCATTGTGAATGAGTTGGCTGAAAGAAGAGATACAGGAGACATATTCTGAGTCGGAGTCTTCTGCTCTCTGCCTGTGGACTTGGGCCAGCCCAGAGGGTCCAGGCTGTGAAGTGCATTCATCTGAATCTAAAAGTCCTAGGAAAAAAAGAAGGGAAAATCAGATGTATGGTGGCATTTTTATTTAATATTCAACAAGCATTCAATAAAATCCATGTACAATAATAAACAGGATTTATCCTCATGGAGATTATAGTCTAGTCTTCAAAGTTACAAAATCTAGGTATAAAAATGTGTTTGTTGGAACAGTATATCTTGGCAGTGGGAGGAAATGAATTATCCATGAGTAGCACACAACAAGTTGTACAGGCTCAGAATCTTGGCAGGCACATTGAAGGTGTCATATTATTTGTTATTATTATTTCTGTTTACTTGAAGAATAAATTTGGTGTATGTATGAAGGTAGAATGCATCAGTTTGTCACCTGTGAATTACCATATAAAAATCATGCTGTTTCTTCAAAGAGTTATAATTTGCAAGAAAGAATCCACTAACTTCCCTTTCTTATCTACAGTGTCCTCCTCCTCTAAATGTATGCTCTTAAAATCTTCATTGTACAAGCACTGCAGAATCTGAGCCATGTGAGAACTGATAGGTCCTGAGATTATTTAGGAGACTTCAATGGGGTCTCTGAGATTAGTTTCAGAGGGGATATCCTAATACTGGTCGTAGTTACCCTCTCCAGCGCTTACTTACTCTGAACTGGCACAGCTAACACTGGCCTTGTCAGTGATGTCATCTTTCTCATTTTCTGCTGTCCATACAGCGCCCTAACTAAATTTTTCACCTCTACTCACAATACTCATAGCCTATTTCAGAACCGTTCCAATATAGGGTGAATTTTGAGTTACTGCTTTTTTATTTGTTTGTTTTGTAGCATAAATAGTGCATTTTTAAAATCAACCCTACCTCTACCATGAATTTAAATATACTATAAAATTTCCAGTTAGTTTTTCTTTCTTTCCAGTGGGAATATCTATAGCTTTACAAGCTTCAGTAAATAAGTAGGCAAATTTTAGTTTCTGATAAAATAAATGAAAAGTCCCTTCCCCTGCTGAGAAACTTTTATTGGATCTATAAAATTTTACTTCTTGGGCGTGGTGGCGCCCGCCCTATGGCAAAATTTTACTTCTGAAAATATATCCAATTTGTCTTTAGGTTTCTGGAGAGTGTCAGTCCATCATTTTGGTGGAGAAGTGGAGAAATTTAATTTACATGCTATGTTTTTATACAAAGAGTTAGTTGTGTCATGTTTGGTGAGTATATTCTGATTATATGTCTGTGGATACCTATTATGTTTTAATGATGCTTCTATGTAGTGACTATAAGGATGAAGGGATGAGATTTCCATTACACATGAAGGTATTGTTATCATGATGTGTCCGGGTGATAATGCAGCATAGTTTTATATATGTATGGGTATTTTGTCTTCTCTGTATTTTGTGAGCTCTATGTAATGTGCTATTGAAATGAAATCAGCTATGAAGTCAATATTTAGTTTACATGAGTGATCTAAGTAATTCTCTAAGATCTGCAGAAACAATGAAAGTGTCATAGACTGTCCATGTGACAGACAGATGTTGGGAAGATTACATGGGCTCTTAGATTGTGAGATAATGTGAAGGCACTCGAAAAGGGCTGATAGGATTGTGCATTGTTAATGTGAAATACAGACTTCTGTAAGAATGAGATTGCTTTTGTGTTAGATTGTCATATTGAAAGAATGAGGTTAGAAAAACAAATCTGAGTAAAGCTTGTGATGTGAAATGAGGATGTGAAGGTTTAATGTGTGCGGTGTGACACAAGTGTGTCTGAGAATATAAAGAAATGGGAGTAGGGATTGGGTCGTGAAGGGATGAGTATTTAGAGATATTAATCTGAGAGTTTATGGTGTTGGGCTCGATGGATGTGATAGGGTGTGGGTAGCCGGCTGGTAGAAACCAGAATTTGATAGCCCCTTCCAAATCTGCCTCCTGAGGGGACATGAGTTAAAGAGCTTTGGTCCTTTCTTGAATACAAGAGCAGAACTCACTCATTCCTCAGAAGGTGGTTCAGTCTATTCCTGTGAGGATAGCAGAAGCCTACCCACAATTAGGATCAATAGATTTCAACATTTTCGGTTCAGACTGCATCGAGTCTGCCCTTGTTTGTTTAACAAATCTGTCTTTTCATTAGTTCTCCATCTTCTCAATGTAGGTCTGACCTGATTCATTTACACTTTTAGACATTGTCCTTTCCGTGAATTTATCAACTTTGTAAAATTCTTTCATCAACTTTGTAAAATTCTCAGTCATTACAACTTTGAATAACGTTGTCTTTTTTGTTGTCGTTTTATTCTTCAGAAACATCAATTTGATATACATCACATTTTCACATTTTATCCTCATTTACTTTAATCTCTCATATCTTCTGTGTATTTATCTCTCCTTTTCACATTACAGGTAATTCTTCAGCTGTATCATATGGCTCATTAATTTTCTTTCCATTTGTGTCTAATTTGCTATTTAACATACCTACCTTTTAAAAAACTTCCAGGACACTATTTCTCACTTCTAAATCAGGTTTATTCTCTAAACCTTTTTCCTTGATTTCTTCTTTTCTTTCACATCTTTATTACTAGAATTAAATATATTTACTATCCCTACAGTATTAGGCCATTAAATTATGTTCTTTGGAGTCAAACACATTGCTTGTTGTGGTGAATGAGTCTACCTTATGGCTACACAGTTTCAGATTGTGAGCTCAACTTTAGAAAGTCATTATCCATAGCATAATTGGAAGCATGGTTCAACTGATAACCCATAGTTCTAGCTTTTCTACTGTCAGGCATTACTAACCACGGTTTAATGTGATAATAATTCTTCGCTTTTAGATTTCATTGATGGTACAGCAATTGTGGACACTATGTCTATGAATCCTACCGCTTCACTATCCTCTAGTATATGACATTATTGTTCCAAAATGTATTCAAAATTCCCTCCCTCACCCACAAAAAATTATATATATATATATATATA